TCATTCTCAGTCACGTGATAGGACCCCTTTGCTGATCTAGTCAGGGTCAGGGCAATGATCTCGAAGATGAACATAAGAACTAGGTGCAGGAGTAGGCCATTCAGCCCCTCGAGCCTGCTCCACCATCCAATACAATCCTGATTGATCGCCATAAGACATAGGAGCAGAAATTAGGCCATTCGGCCCATCGAGTCTGCTCTGCCATTCAATCATGGCTGATAAGTTCCTCAAACCCATTCTCCCACTTTCTCCCCGTAACCCTTGATCCCCTTGATAATCTCACTTTGGTCCCAACTCCTTTCCTGCCCGCTTTCCATAACTTTTCAACCCATTACTTATTAAAATCTGCCTACCTCCTCCTTACTATTCCTCATTACCCCAGCATCCACTGCACTCTAGGGGAGTGAATTCCACAGATTCATGACCCTTTCAGAGAGGTAATTCCTCCCCATCTCTGTTTGAAATCTGCCACCCCTTATCCTAAAACTGTGACCTCGCGTTCTAGATTGTCCCACATGAGGAAACATCCTCTCTGCATCACAGGCTTAACACTGCGCCATTCTGCTGAAGGATCTCGGGCATGTAATGTTGGCCTGGACTCACCCCTCCCCAGGCTATTGTGGATCCAGCCTCCCAGTCGCAGATCAGGTAGTGCCCTGCAACCCAACCCCGCTCCCATCACTTTGGGGTTGGAGGACGGGAGAGGGGTGGGGGTTGTGGGGGGAGGAGGGGGGCAGGTTTACCTGGCCGGGTCAACACACTGATGAGGCCGCCATCAAACCTCCACCCTACCACTCCCAAGGTCCCTGAAGTCCCAAGCTCCGAGAGCTGAACAGCTGTGAATACAAACCCCTTAATGTCTCAAAGAAAGAAAACACATCATTGAAAATACATCAGATTAAAATCTGTCTATTTCAGCGTCAAATACACTTGGTGATCCAGCCTTGAATACTCTCTTTGGTAAAGAATTCCACAATTATTTCATAAATACATTCTTTCTTCTTGAGAGTGGTGTAGGGAGATTGAGGTTTACTCTAAAAGCAGGAGGATTACACATTATTGAGCAGGGACATGTCTTCAGTATAAACGCATTGGTAACCATGGTTCTGGGAGAAACTAGAGGGAGCAACGATATGGTGGATTCTTTGGGGGGCCAGGGGCGGGCACACTCTTTGTGGTTCTTCATCCTCCCCTGAGATGTTGCCAATGTTTGTTGTCCATCCCCAATTTGTCTTGATCATTGCAGTTGAGCTACACATCTGGAGTCAAATACAGGCCAGATCTCCTTCAAAAGGCCATGGGTGAAGCAGATTGGCTTTGACAATAATCAGTGGCGCTCACTGCTACAAGTATTATGTTCCAGATTTACTAATGAAATTCAATTCAATAGTTGCTGTGGTGGCACTTAAACCCATGTCCCTGGAGCAGTAGATAGTAGGAACTGCAGATGCTGGAGAATCTGAGATAACAAGGTGTAGAGCTGGATGAACACAGCAGGCCAAGCAGCATCAGAGGGGCAGGAGAGTCAACATTTTGGGTTTACAGCCTTCATCAGGACTGCTATAATTATCGTTATAATCCCCTAAACTGGTCACATCATCTCAACCAGAAATGGCCATGTGCAGGATGTACATAACAAGGCAGAGTGAGATGAAGTCGGCCACGCCATTGCATCCAATCCATATTCTGCCCAGAACATGTTGGCTTGGGGGCCAGAAGGAAGTCATTCAGCCCGAGTTCGGTCTGCCGTCCAACCAGATCATTGGTGATCGTCCCTTACTGATTAAAGTCCATCTATTTCAGCTTCAAGTATGATTGATGACCCAGCCTTGTATACCCTCTTTGGTGAAGAATTCCACAGATTTATTACCCTCTGAGAGAAAAAAAATCCTCCTTATCTCTAACCACTGAGCCACCGTGTCACTCTAAAAAGGTGATGTCCTCTGGTCCTACACTCTCCCACAAGGGGAAGCAACCTCTCCACACCTACTCCGTCATGTCCCTAAGGGACAAGGTCTTCTTTCATCCTTCAACCTTCCAACACGTACAGGTCCAATCTACTCAACCTTCATAAGACAGTCCCCTCCATACCCAGTATCTTGCGAGTGAACCTTCTATGTCAGTATATCATTCCTTAGCTAAGGAGCCCCTAGCTGTTTGCAGCTGCTCAAGGCAATGGCCCAGTGGTATTATTAGTGGACCCGGAAAACGTTCTGGGGACCTGGGTTCGAATCCCGCCATGGCAGATGGTGGAATTTGAATTCAATAAAAATATCTGGAATTAAGAATCTAATGATGACTATGAATCCATTATTGATTGCTGGGGGGAAAACCCATCTGGTTCACTAATGTCCTTTAGGGAAGGAAACTGTCATCCTTACCTGGTCTGGCCTACATGTGACTCCAGACCCACAGCAATGTGGTTGACTCTGAACTGCCCTCAAGTCAATTAAGGGATGGACAATAAATGCTGGCCATCCAGCGATGTCCACATTCCCTTAATGAATAAAGTATTCCAGCTGTGGTCTGACTAGTGCCTTGCACAGTTCAAGAAGGCAGCTCACCCCCACCTTCTCAAGGGGGCAACTAGGGATGGGCAATAAATGCTGGACCAACCAGCAACGCCCACATCCCACAAGAGAATAAGAAAATATACTGAATTAAAAGAATGGTCTCTCCCTCTCTCTCTCTCCTATTTATCCTGGCAGCTGCTCCCACTCCATCATTGCCCCCAGTGCATTTCCCAAAGAAAATTTGTTTAGAAAGAACAGTCCGCTCTGGCTGGCTCTGGGAAAGCCTCCTATCAGCACTTAGCGAGGGCAGCACAAAGTAATTTTAAATCTTCTTTGCAACTAGATCAGACCGATGGATTTCTGTGAGGCTTACTGTTGTGTTTTATGCCTTTAAATCCATCTGAGATTTTGCCGGCTCAGTGTAAGCGAGAGAGGCATAATTAAAATTAAGCCTTCAGAATGTATACTTACGTTCGAAGTGAAAGAAGGGTTTCGCTCTGTTACTTGCTCTGACTCATTTTAAAATTCAATCTTCACCAGGGGTGTGGCAGAAAAGACAAATGGATCTTTTGTCGGAAAGTATAAGCTGCACAGTCAGTGCAAGGAGACAGCAGGAGGGTAGGATTTTCCAGAGATAGTAGGAACTGCAGATGCTGGAGAATCCGAGACAACAAGGTGCAGAGCTGGATGAGCACAGCAGGCCAAGCAGCATCATAGGAGCAGAAAGGCTGACGTTTCGGGCCTAGACCCTTCATCAGAAAATGGTAGGGTAGGATTTTCCATTCGTTTTGTGTTGGTGAGCACTGAGCACAGCAATCGATTTTGTCAGTGTTCCTTCTGTCTGTGAGGTGCGGGTCAGGTCGGCATTTGCTGCCCGACCACGGTTGTTCCTGAGAGGGTGGGTGACAGGGTTCCTGCTTGTCGTTTCTATGAGGTGAAGGAGTTTCTTGCTGTCAACAGTCCTCAAAGGTTTTGCAGCGAGTTCGGGTTGATTTCATGTTCCATTTCCTCTGAAATGAAGGCCAACGTCTCACTAGCCCTCCCTATTATACGCTAATCTTGGATGCTCGTTTTTTTTAAATCAGGTAACGCTCTGGTTATAATGAGGCCTACAGCACAGAAGAAAGGCACTTCAGCCCATCGAATCTATGCTGGTCAAAAGTAACCACTTCACTATTCTACTCCATTCTCCAGCTCATGGCCCATTACCTTGGCTTCGCAAGTGCACATCTAACTACTTCCTAAATATTCTGAGGGTTTCTGCCTCTCCCACCCTTACATGCAGTGAGTCCCAGATTCCCAGCATCACTACTCAAATTAAATTAATTAATAACTTCAGTTTGAAGGAAACCTCATCTTGGTAACAGTGACAATGAAACTATTGGACCGTTGTAAAAATCCATCTGATTCACTAATGCTCTTTAAGGAAGAAAATCCGTTGAGCTTACTTGGTCCAGTCTACACAGGACCCCAGGCACACAGCAACGTTGAATCATAGAAACCCCTACAGTGCAGCAAGGGGCCATTTGGCCCATTGGGAATGCACCGACCCTCCAAAGAATATCTCACACAGGCCCATCCAATCCCTGTAATCCCACAGGGGGTTTCTACCCTGGCTAACCCACTTAGCCTGCACATCTCTGCACACTACAGGGCAAGGGGAGGTGATGGCCCAGTGGCATTATCACTCGATTATTAAACCAGAGACTCATGTAACATTCTGGGAACCTGGGTTCAAATCCCTGCATTGCAGATGGTGGAATTTGAATTCAATAAAAACAAAACTGGAATTAAGAGTCTGATGATGACCATGAATCACTTATTGGGAGAAGAAACTCATCTGGTTCACTAATGTCCTTTAGGGAAGGAAACTGCCATCCTTAACTGGTCTGGCCTACATGTGACTCCAGACCCACAGCAATTAGGGATGGGCAATAAATGCTGCCTGGCCAATGATACTCTCATCCCATGAATGCATTAAAAAAAAAAAAATTTAGCATGGCCAATCCACCCTAACCCACACACCTTTGGACTGTGGGAGGAAACCAGAGCACCCAGAAGAAACCCACACAGAATGTGCAAACTCCACACAGACAGTTAGAACATAGAACAGTACAGGCCCTTATGGCCCACGATGTTGTGCCGACCTATTATCCTACTAAGATCAAACTACCCTGCATCTCACTATCCTCCATGTGCCTATCCAAGAGTCACTTAAAAGTCTCTAAAGTATCTGACTCTGCCTGAGGGTGGAATTGAACCCAGATCCCTGGCACTGTGAGGCAGCCGTGCTAACCACTGATCCACTGTGCTGCCCATGGCTGGCCACCCTCTGATAAAGGGTTAGCAATACATTGAGTTTAAACTTTATTCTCTGAAGAAGAACAGTGTGCAGGGGAGAAGGCAGCTGCCACGATACTCAGAGATTTAGAGACAGGGCACGAGTGCAATGGGCTGAATGGTCTCTTGCTAGGCACACACACTCACCGTAACCTTGTGCTCGCCGGTCAGGTTGGGCGGTTCACACAGGAGCTGGGTCTCCGAGACAGTCAATGCACAAGGGTTGTCCCCGATTAACACTGTGTAGTTCAGCTTGACGTTGCCAGGGGCGTTGGGAATCAAGTTCCTCCCCTATAAAAACAGACAAGGACCAAATAGGTTTCCAGCCAACACAGGACTGCCTAGGCATCGAAATGTGTCACAGCGCCATTTTATTTTTCCGAAGGCAGGCCATGGAAACGTAGAGAAGAGAAAAAAAACTTTGCTGTCGGGAAGTAGACCATTTGGCCCATCGCGTTGATGCTGGTGTCAGACCCTGTGAAAGAGGCTCAGAGGCGAGGCTGAGTGATGGTGTTGGAGATGGTAAGAGCTACCAGTGAGAGGTGCTCAGTCGGGGAGGGGCGAATTGAGAGGGTGGGGGCAGATCGAGGGCCGGGAGAGTGAAAGGGGCCAAGGAGAGGTGGGAGGAGGTGGGGAGGCGTGGGAGGAAGGGCAAAGGGAAGGAAGATTGGGAAGGGGAAGGGGAGGGAGATAGAGGGTGAGAGTGAGGATGAATAATATCTTTTCACTTGGTGAGTTGTGAGGGTCTATAATGCGCTGCCTGGAAATGTGGTGGAGCAGGTCAAATTGAGACATTCAATGGAATGATTATTGGGATGGAAATGGTGTGCTCGGGGAGATGGCAAGAGATTGGTGCTGGGTAACATTGCTCGTTTGAAGACCCAGTGCAAGCATTGGGGGCTGAATGGCCTCCTGCTGCCCCATAACAATTCTGTGATTCTGCGAGGTTTAGGGAAAGTGGGAGGGTGGAGAGATGGGGAGGGGGGGAGGTGAAGTTCAAGGGGATGGGGAGGGTGAGGAGAAAGAGGAGGTGAGTGAGTGACGGTGAGAGAGGGGTAACAGTGGAGGTATATAGAACAGGCAGAGGTGTGGTAAAACCCATTACTGGAAATTCTCCCTGCTCTGCACCGCTCAAACTTGTTCAAATAGAATACACACTTTGGTGAGGTCAGTGCCCTTGTACTCATACCCTTCGAGAGAGACGAGGTAAGAATCCTTGAGGTGTGCAGCCAAGCGGTGAACGCTCAAATCCTCACTCATGCACTTACACACTTATCTACAGGCAGACATACAGGTATTGCCTGCACAAACATTCACACACACTTCACACACACACACACTCACACACACACTCACACACTCACACACACAGACATGTACACATGCACACACACACAGACACACACACATAGACACACACACAAACACATGCATTCTCACACACACCCAGACATACACACACTCTCTCTCACACACACACGCATACATGTGCACACACATGCACATACACATTCTCACACACACACAAACATGCACACATGCACACTTTCACGTGCACACACTCTTTCTCACACACATACACTTTCACACACACACACTCTCTCACACGCACACATTTGCACACACACACATAGGCGCATACACACATGCACACATTCATGTACACACACATTCACAGACACAGAGACACACATTCACACACACACTAGTGACATGCAGCTGTGCTCAAAAACACAATCACACTCACATTGTTTGACAATCGGAACAAATGCAGCTGTAACATTAAACAGAAGGAAACCAGAGTAAACGAGAAACAGAGAGAAAAGGGGATTTGTATTTGACCTGAGCAAGAGCTCAGCCTTGACATCACATGGCCTTCCCCATTCAGAGACACAGGGAGGGGTCATCAGCCACAAGGAGGGAGAGGGGCAGCCAGACCTGACTGTACTGAGTTCTCACCTTCAGTATAACCGGGGAGCTGGGCTTGAGCTCGACAATCCCGGATGGACTCAGCAGCTCAAAGACTGGGTCCGGGTAGTAAGTGAATCCTGTCCCGTTGATGATGAGCACTGACTGGACATTGTCCATGACAAAACCAATCTCATCTGGCTGAGCTGGACTTTCCAGGGAAGTTCGTCCACTGTTTGCGATGGATGGAGCCTTGCAGACCATGGCAGTGTCATTTAATACTTTGCATTCCTGTAGGAGGTACACAGTTTCTCTTATAAGTTAACAAGGACGCGCACTTAGCTGCAAGACAGTAAAAATCACTAGGAATCATTGTTAAGCTCTGTTTCACACCGAAGAAGGCTAAGAGGTGACTTAATAGAGACATACAAGATGATCAGAGGATTAGATAGGGTGGACAGTGGGAGCCTTTTTCCTCGAATGGTGATGGCTAGCACGAGGGGACATAGCTTTAAATTGAGGGGTGATAGATATAGGACAGATGTCAGAGGTAGGTTCTTTACTCAGAGAGTAGTAAGGGCGTGGAATGCCCTGCCTGCAAAAATAGTAGACTCGCCCACTTTAAGGGCATTTAAATGGTCATTGGATAAACATATGGATGATAATGGAATAGTGTAGGTTAGATGGGCTTCAGATTGGTTTCACAGGTCGGCGCAATATGGAAGGGCCTGTACTGCGCTGTAATGTTCTATGTTCTATGTTCTATGAACCATAAAAGATGAAATGAGGGAAAACAGCAGCAATGCACCGTTCAACCCGAGTATGTTCCATCCCTCAATTTGATTCTGGTCAATCCACTCACCCACCCAAGTTCTGTAATTATTAATATACTTGCACACTAAATATCTGTCAAGGCACCAAAATGTTTCATTTTCAATTAACCACAAATCAGGCCACTTCTTTTGGAAGGGGATAAGGGAAAAGAGTGAGAGAGGGTGGACTGATGGTAACATCAATAGACTTGATATCTAGAGACACAAACGGAGGTGGGGGCTAATAGTTCAAAACCCAGTGGCTGGAATTTAAATTCAACATAGAAACATAGAAAATAGGTACAGGAGTAGGCCATTCGGCCCTTCGAGCCTGCACCACCATTTAGTATGGTCATGGCTGATCATGCAATCTCCGTAACCCATACCCACTTTCTCTCCATACCCCTTGATTCTCTTAGCCCCAAGGGCCATGTCCAGCTCTTTCTTGAATGTATCTAATGAACTGGCCCCAACAGCTTCCTATGGGAGAGAATTCCACAGGTTCACAACTCTCTGGGTGAAGAAATTCTTCCTCATCTCAGTCCTGAATGGCTTACCCCTTATTCTTAGGCAGTGACCCCTAGTTCTGGACTTCCCCAACATCGGGAACATTTTTCCTGCATCTAGCCTGTCCAGTCCCATCAGGATTTTATATGTTTCTAGAGATCCCCCACCCTGACCCCAATTCTTCTAAATTCCAGCGAGTACAGTGGCCTAATCTTGTTTGTAAGCTTGTTTCTCTCTAGATAGATGTGCCCTGACCAGTTGGTTATTACCACCCATTTCTGATTTCCGGAGCCGAAGTAAAATCAACATTGGCCAATGGGAAATAAATCTCCCCACATTCCTATACACAGACGCTCACACCTCCATCTGCATCTCAAGACTCAGGAATTGCATATGGCTAAAGATCGAACATTGGGGTACTTACATTTGTAGACTGCACGCTGCTATATTTGGCTCGGATCTTTGGCTCTTGTATGGTGGCGAGGTTGGTCCCAGTCACAATAAGTGGTGTTCCCCCACTTCGTTTCCACACAGGAACCGAGACACAGAGAGAGAGAGAGAGAGAGAGAGAACGATACGGGACAAATTAGCACACGGTTCAGAAATGTATTCAGCGTACCCTATTTTCCAAGGATCTGTATTCCTCTGCTCCCTGCCCATTCATGTATCTGTCTAGATACATCTTAAATTATGCTATCGTGCCCGCCTCTACCACCTCCACTGGCAACACGTTCCAGGCACCCACCACCCTCTGCGTAAAGAACTTTCCACACATATCTCCCTTAAACTTTTCCCCTCTCACCTTGAAATCGTGACCCCTAGTAATTGAGTCCCCCACTCTGGGAAAAAGCTTCTTGCTATCCACCCTGTCTATTCCTCTCATGATTTTGTAGACCTCAATCAGGTCCCCCCTCAACCTCTGTCTTTCTAATGTAAATAATCCTAATCTACTCAACCTCTCTTCATAGCTAGCACCCTCCATACCAGGCAACATCCTGGTGAACCTCCTCTGCACCATCTCCAAAGCATCCACATCCTTTTGGTAATGTGGCGACCAGAACTGTATGCAGTATTCCAAATCCAATACCCATTCTTTGAAGTCTCCATCTCCCCTCATCCCTCCACGATAATGTCCCATTTCTGTTCTGAAGGTATGCCATTTCACCCAGTTCTGCTTATCCTCCAGTATCTCACACCAGAGGCCATTCCTCTCAATCCCACCGGTGCTCTGCCAAGGCTCAGTTGGGTCAGCAGGTCACGAGGTCAAGTTCCATTCCAGACACTTATCCATATCCAGCTCCACACTGCAGGAAGTGTCACAGTGCCAGAAATGCCGGAATTCAGATGGCAGACAAAATGGAGGCCCTGAGGTAGGTGTTTGGGCATGATGGGCAGAGAAGCAGAGGAGTTCTGCCCTGTTTGGGGCATGGCACAGTTTGATTAATTGTGGAAACATGGGTGATTTAAGGAGCAAGGGATAATCTGTGAAAAAGACCGTGGGATTTGGTGGTGAGGAGAACAAAAAGCCTTTTGGCTATATCAGATAACATTTTCGGATATATTTTAAGAAGGGCTGGTTTTTGATGAGCTCTTGTGGCATGGTGGTAATGTCCTTACATCTGAGCTGGGGATCTAGGTTCAAGTCTCACCTGCTCCACAGAGGTGTATAATAAGACCAGGTTGATTAGAAGATATCAAGGGCTGGTTTTCCCCAGTCAAAGATGTTGGCAAAGAAGGAGAGAGGCCAGACAGGAGTTTGTGTTGAATAATGAAATGCAAATAGACTGACTCTGGCTTCCTACTTCGGTAGATGGATCCCTGGCACTGTAACGCTAATTTGGAACTATACAGCTGTTCCTTCAGTGTCACCAAGTCATAATCTTGGAATTCCCTCCCTAACAGCATTGTGGATGTCCCTACAACAAATGGACGACAGGAGTTCCAGAAGGGAGTTCACACCACCTTCTCGAGGGTAACTAGGGATGGACAATAAACGCTAGCCTAGCCAGCGACGCCTGAGAATGGATACATTTAAGTGAGAGTGACAGAAGAGATAAGCTCACACCTTAATTGGAAACATAATGCTCCATCTGTGCATTCTCCAGAGCATTCTTCTTCAGAGAGCTCTTCATGTCAGACTCCCAATTCACAAAACAAAGGAAGAAGGGTCAACTGAGGCTGCGCAGTAGACCAGTAGTCCAAAACCAGAGGGCACTGGTTTAAGATGAGAGGGGAAAGACTTAAAAGGACCTAAGGGGCAACATTTTCATGCAGGGGGTGGTGTGTGTATGGAACAAGGTGCCAGAGGAAGTGGTGAAGGCTGGTACAATAACAACATTTAAAAGGCATCTGGACGGGTACATGAGTAGAAAGGGTTTAGAGAGATAGGGACCAAATGCTGGCAAATGGGACTAGATTAACTTAGGATATCTGGTCAGCTTGGACGATTTGGACCGAAGGGTCTGTTTCCATGCTGTACAACTCTATGACTTTGTGACTCCATTTGGAGTGGTTACTTCATCCCCATTGCGAATCAATTTCAGTTCGTCCCAAAGTCATCTAACAAAATATCCCAAGCACAGAAACAACGCATTCAGTACAAGAAGTCCATAATGTCATAGCTCTAATGAGTTTTCATCCCACCCCACCTAATTCCATTAACAGATCCTTTTATTTACAAGAATGATTCCAGGGATCAGAAACCTCTGTTATGAGGATAGATTGGAGGAGTTAAGACTGTTTTCCTTGGAGGGAAGAAGGCTGAGAGGAGACTTGAGACAAGTTTTGAAACTCCAGGGCTGGACAGAGTGGATATGGAAAAACTATTCATGTTTGTAAAAGGATCAAAGACCAGCGGGCACAGGTTTCAAGTGATTTGCAAAAGGAGCAAAAGTGAGGTTGAAATTATTTTTTCACAAGTGGCACTAGGTATGGATGATCATTTGAAGAGTAGGTACAGGAATGATGGGTTGAATGGCCGTCTTTTGTGCAGCAGCACTTCAGTGATTCTCCCATATTTGCTTATCAAGTTTCCCCATATACGCGTCTATGTTATTAGCTTCAATCTTTCAATGGGGCAGAGAGTTGCACATTCTAAACATTCTTCAGGAAGTTCTCCTGAAATTCCCCATTGACTGATGAATATGTTTATATCGGATATGAGTATGAGTGATGTCTGCCTTTGAAAATGAAAGTTATACAGCCCCATTGGGTATAAAAAAACCAGAGGGGTAGGATTAGTTTGGTTGGCTCTTTCAGAAAGTAACATGTGCACGGTCACCAAACGGTCTCCTTTCCCACGCAACAAAATCTAGTAACTTGAAAAGAGAAGTGACTGTGGAACCACTGCCCCTTGACATTCAAGGGCATTGCCATCACTGAATCCCCCACCATCAACATCCTGGGGGGAGGGGCTATCATTGACCGGAAACTGAACTTGACTGGCCATATCAATACAAGACCAAGTCAGAGGCTGGGAATCCTGCAGTGAGCAACTCACCTCCTGACTCCCAAAAGCCTGTCCACAATCTACAAGGCACAAGTCAGGAGTGGGATGGAATACTCCCCACTTGCCCTGAATGAGTGCAGCCCCAACAACACTCAAGAAGCTCAACACCATCCAGGGCAAAGCAGCCCACTTGATTCTACCCCAGTCACCACCTTCAATAATTACTCCTTCCACCACTGACACAAAGTGGAACCATTTACACGATGCACTAAAGGAACTCATCAAGGCTTCTCAGACTGCACTTTCCTAGCCAGTGATCTTGTCGTTGGCAGCAGATACATGAGAACACCTCCACCTGCAATATCCCCTCCAAGCTATTTGCAATCCTGACTTGGAAATATATCGCTGTTCCTTCAATGTTGCTGGGTCAGAATTCTGGAACTCTATCTCAGCAGTACCGTGGGTGCACTTACATTGCAGAGACAACAGCGGTTCAAGAAGGTAGCTCACCACCAACTTCTCCAGGGCAATTAGCAATGGCCAATAAATGCTGCCAATGCCATTGGTACTCACATCCCAAGAATGAAAAAAGAACTTTGAAAGTGCAGACTTTTCAGAAAATGGGGCACTTAATCTTTAAAAAGGTGCAATCTATCCTGCTCAGCTGGATATAAGCAAAACAAATTAATAATGCACAATACGAGACTGAAAAAGGCAGCTAACAAAAGCCGACATTCACTCTGTTCTTTTGTGCAGGGATTCTCAGAGTGCATCATTAACTCATGAATAATTTCCTAATTCTACTGACAGTTTCCTCTTCTCAAATTAACACAACATGACAGCGCCGAAATTCAGGACTCTGCTCGGGTGGTCTGGCAGCTTAACATTGCATGAGAATGCCATCCCTGATAATTGCCCACTTTTTCAATGTTTTGAAGGTTTCTTCCTCTACCAACCTTACAGGCAGTGAGTTCCAGACTCCCACCACCCTCTCCCCTTACCTTAAATCTATACCCCTGGTCATTGACACAAAAGCAGAACCAGATCACCGGTTCTGAAGAAGGGTCACTGGACCCAAAACGTTAACTCTGCTTTCTCTCTCCACAGACACAGCCAGACCTGTTGAGTTTTTCCATCAACTTCTGGTTTTATTTCTCATTTCCAGCATCTACAGTTCTTTTGGGTTCTCCCTGTCATCGGTCTTAGATTTGTAATCATTGGAGCTCAGAAGAATGTGAGGTGACCTTACTGAAACATGAAACTCTTCAAGGATCTGACAGGACAGACACTGAGAGGATATTTCCTCTTGTGGGAGAGTCTAGGACCAGAGGGCATTTCACAGCTGAATAAACTGGTTCTAATTTTGGGATTATGCCTACTTGTCCCAAAATCCTCCAATTCACTTAGAAAATTATGATGAAGAAGATAATCCACAGAGGAATGCATGGTGATGCTCTGTTCTACCAGTGTCTGGTGTGTAATTAAATCACACAGGTGAGCAGAGATGCCAAGCTTTCTCTCTAAACTTCTGCCGAAACGGACATGAATTAATAAGGTCAAAACTGAGACTGATACATTTTTGTTCAGTAATGGGGTCAAGGGTTACAAAAGTAAGGCAGGGAGATGAGGTTGAAATGCACTTCAGCCATGATCCAACTCAACATTGACAGCAAAGGCTTGAGAAATTGCCTCCCCACTGTTCCTACACTCCTTGACCACAGCTGCTGAAGTTCGGTAGTATCAGGCAAAGGCAGTGGAAGATCTGCTACAACTTTTCTCACTGTCTATTCACCTTCCCTTCTCTGTGCCTTGCTCCCCCGATTCTCGAAAGAGACAGGGATATCAGTCAACCTTCACATTCCTGACTGCTCCTTACTGGAAGGTCCACAGGTTAAGGCGACAGCTCCAAAATGAGATCAGAGTCTCCCTTTCCATCTCTCACCTTTCGGGCTTACCAGTTTGGTTAGAGTGGAGAATCTGGGACGGAGAACCTGCACCAGTTTGAGCTAATTCACAGCATCGGCAGACGGATGGCTTGTGCCAACCACCACCTGTCAACGGCATTGCCGTAAATGAATTCATCTCTATCGACTTTCTAGGGGCTTACCATTGACCAGAGGCTGAGCTGGGTCAGCCAGATACATACTGCCGCTACAAGAGCAGATAAGAGGATAGGCCGTGTGTAGCTCTCCAATTGCCTGAATGAGTGCAACTCCAACAATGTTCAAGGCACTCAACGCCATCCAGGATTTCTGTCACTGATAGAAATTTTCCAGGTCTCTCTGAACACAGGAATAGTCCCAGATGCCTGGAGGATTGCAAATGTGACACCATTGTTTAACAAAGGATAACCCAGGAAACTACAGACCTGTCAACTTGACATCAGTCTTGGGAATTCTGATGGAGGCCGTATACGGGATAAGGTAAATATACACTCAGAGAAAAATCAATTAATATTTGACAGTCAACATGGCTTTGTCAAGGGCAGGTTGTGTCTGACAACTTTAATTGAGTTTTTTGACAAGGTGACACAGGCAGTGGATGAGGGTAGTACTGTGGATGTTACACATTTGGACTTTCAGAAAGCATTTGATACAGTGCCAGATGGCAGGTTGGTTAGCAAGTTAGAAATGTTTGGGATTGATGGGTTCTTGGCAGCATGGATTGAAAGTTGGCTAAAAGATTGGAAACGGAGGGTAGGTATAGATAGGCCTTTCTCAGATTGGAGATGAGTTGAAAGTGGCGTTCCCCAGGGATCAGTGTTGGAACCCTTGCTTTTTCTGATTTATATAAATGATTTGGAGATGGGTGTTGAGGGCAAAATCTCTGAATTTGCAGATGATACTAAGCCAGGGAGAATAGTGACTTGTGAGGATGATGTTGAGCGACTTCAGAGGGACATTGACAAGTTGGCTGAATGGGCAGAGATCTGGCAGATGAATTTTAATGCAGAGAAATGTGAGGTAATGTAGGTTGGTAGAAGAAACACGGAGAGACAATACAGGCGCAGTGGTACAACTCTGAGGGGAGCACAGGAGCAGAGGGACCTTGGGATTCATGCCCATGATTCTCTGGGTGGGAATGAGTGATGTGAGGAAAAGGCAAAGAGGATTTAGTCAGGTTGTGTCAGTGGACAAGAACATGGCCAGGCAAATTGGAACAGTTGTGAAGAAGGTTTATAGGATCCTTGGGTTGATAAATAGAGACACAGAATATAAAAGCAACAAGGTGATACAACACCTCTAAAGATCATTGGCCCGGCCATATTTACAGTATTGTGTGGGTTTCCTCTGGGTGCTCCAGGTTCCTCCCACTGTCCAAAGATGTGCAGGTTAGATGGATTAGCTATTGGAAATTGTCCCATAAGTGTAAAGGCATGTGCAGGCTAGGTGGGTTAGCCATTGGGAAATTGCCCATGGTGTCCAGGGATTTGCAGGCTAGGTGGATTGGCCATGGAAAATGCAGGGTTACAGGGGCAAAGTAGAAGGCTGGGGTTGGGTGGCATGCTGTTTGGAGGGTTTGTGCAGACTCCATGGGTTGAGGTGCAGCCCCCACCTGCACTGTAGAGATTCTGGGCAATCATCATCTGGCTATTAACTTTGTTACTGGTGGAAACTCTCTCTTCCGATTTGCCCTGTTTAATGCCACCCCCTCAGGTTTGTTGAATGCAGGAAGGATGTTCTCTCGGACTGGGGTAGTCCAGAACCAGGGGTCATAGTCTAAGAATACAGTGTAAACCAGGTCGGAGAAATTTCTTCACCCAGACAGTGGCGAGCCTAGGGAATTCCCTACCACAGAAAGCAATGGAGGCCAAAACATTTCAAGAAGGAGATGGATACAGCACTTGGGGCTAAAGGGATCAAAGGATATGGGGGAAAAGCAGGAAGGGGGGACTGAGCTTGATGATCAGCCATGATCATATTGAATGATGGAGCAGGCTTGAGGGGCCGAATGGCCTGCTCCTGCTCCTATTTTTTATGTTTCTGTGTTTCTGTGAATTTGGACACCGAGGCACACATGTGCAGAGATGGAGAGAGTGAAGCGATCGCCAGTAGGTCATAAAAACTTCCTGATCCTCAAGAACAACTTACCTGGAAATGGTCCATTCAGGCTCAATCTTGGAGATGGTGGGATCATCTGTGTAGTTATACTGCACGCTGGGGTTTAAGAGCTCAGCTCTGTTAATGTGCACTCTGATGGAAGCTGGGCCTATTCCCTTTGTTGATGCGGCTGTGACGCAGACAATTTCCCCGGACGTTCTCCTGTAGACAGGGAGAGGCAAAGAACACTGTCAACTAAGGCCCAATGTGACAGGAGGAGAGTGAGTGTAATGGTGGGGCACAGGAACACACAACCCACAAGGGAGGCTGGTGGGACGGTGGGTGCTGTGTAATGTCTCTGGGTGAATATTCCAGGGCCCCCCAACTCATCTCCAGATAACACGAGTGAGAATCCCACCACAACAGAGAGTGAAATTCAAATTCAATAAAATCTGGGATTCAAAGCTGGCCTATTGGTGACCATATAACCTCGTGTTCGTTGTTGTAAAAACCCATCCGGTTCTCTGAGACAACAAGGTGCAGGGCTGGATGAACACAGCAGGCCAAGCAGCATCATAGGAGCAGAGAGGCTGATGTTTCGGGCCTAGACCCTTCATCACCTACTATCTCCCATCCGGTTCTCCAGTGTCTTTTAGGAAATCTGCTGTCCTTGCCTTGTTTGACCTACACGACCTGCAGCAAGGTGGTGGACTCGTAATTTCTCTCCGAGATGGTCTCACAAGCCATTCAGTTCAAGGGTAATTACAGACCAACAATAAATGCTGGTGTCTATCACACCTCAGGAACATCAATTAGATTTAGGCACAACAGTCCAGAAACTCAGTCAGATGTTCCAACTGGACGAATTTAGATTCCAATTTATGTTAAATCTAGAATAAAATGTTGGTCTCCTAGGAATAGGAGTAGGCTATTCAGCCCCTCGAACCTGTTCTGCCACTCATTGAGACCATAGCTGTGCTTTAACTCCATATACCTGTCTTTGGCCCACATCCCCTAATACCCTTGCTTCACAAAAATTTATCCATCTTAGATTTAGATTTACAACTGATTCGGCATTCACTGCCGTTGTGGAAGAGAGTTCAAAGCCCCTACCGCCTGTGATGACTGTAACGAGATCAGCCGGGTGGACCTCATAGAACACGAGTTCCCTGACTGGGGCTGTTATTCCAATCCAATCAGGGAGCCCTGGCTGACAGATTAAAAAGGGGTGTGTCAGAGATGCTGACACTCTGGGAGCTGACTCTGAATTAGGCCTTACTAAAGTGAAGGGCCGCTCATGCGTAAATAAAGGGTGACTCAGTGATGGGATACCGGTCTCTGAGGAGCTATTTCATCACCCTTTGAACATATAAGTTCTTCCTAACATCTCTCCTGAACAGTCTGGCCCTAATTCTCAGACTATGCCCGTAGTTCTTGCATCTCCAATCAGTACAAATAGTTTATCTTTATCTATTCTGTCTTTTCCTGTTAATATCTTGAAGACTTTGAGCAGGTCACCACTTAACCTTCTAAATTCTAGAGAAAAATCAGCCTAATTTACATAATCGCTCCTAAATATTTATCCCATTGATCTCATTCATACGAATGAAAATATCAAATTGTTATGAAACTCAGCTGATTCAGGAGTAGCCTCTCATGAGGGAAATTTGCCATCCTTACCTGGTCTGGTCCACATGTGACTCCAGACTCACAGCAAAGTGGGTGACCCTTAACGGCTCTCTGAGGTGGCACAGCTTCACCACAACCAGCTCAAGAGCAATTAGGAATAGGCAATAAATGGGCAAGGGTGTTGGCAGACTCCTTGGTAGATCCTCATGTTACGAAGGCAGGAAGCTAGAATTTTTTTGTAAAAAAATCATAAGGGGGGAAAAGTGCATGGTCCCTTTAAGAGGTGATGTGCATTTCTAAGCTTGGAGATTTAAACGAAAATGTGTCTGTAAGCAGCTGAAAGGAACAGACAGTTCTGAAATGGAAACATGTATCAATTGGCTGTGTGATTGGAAACCTTAGGCATGTTTTGATGTTTTGGCAACCAGCTGGAATCAGCCAATTAATTTAAACCAAGCACTTAGCAGTTGAAAGTCAATGGAATTTAAATCTGATGGTTTTGACAACCTCAGACCAATGCCATTGCAAGAAAATTGATATGTCATCCAAGGTATATATGAAGAGGGCTTTCGAAAATAAGTGTGAGAGCAAACCGCCATCTGAGTAATAAGCATCTAGCTCGCACAAGGAATCGCTAAGCTCTCTAAGAAAACGCCATCTATCCATAAAAGGTACCACGGCACTTCGAGCTCAGAGTCCTCACATAACACTTCACAGAGAAAACATTCCTGACAGCCAGATCAGTGGAAGAAAGGCATTTATGACTTGAGAACAGCAGAAGAAAGGTGTGTATACTTTTAAAGACTAAGTTTTAACTTATTTTTTCTTCTTGTTACTTCAGTTATATAGTTGGGACTTGTGTCTATTGGAATAGCATACCAGTAGAATTCTGTTCAGTTAAGGAATAGTTAGGAGTCAGGTGGGAATTGTTTGGTTTCTTTGTAATACTGTTAATTTGTTCACAGTTAGGGTTGAATAAATAAATTGTTACTTGTTACTTATAAAGTGAATATCATGGATTTCCTTTCATTTAATCTCCCCTTCTCCGTAACACTCAGGACAATCATATGATCAATTGATACTCATATCCTAATAATAAATGTTAAAAGTTACACAAGCTTCAACAGAACATTCAACGGGGAGCTTGATAAACACATGAAAAGGAAAAAGGTGTCAAATTAGAGAGAACCAAGGCCTTCGGAAGTGGCCAAGGCCTCACTGAGAATAAGTTTATTTGCATATTCCGCTTTTACCTTTTGAATTGGCAGATGGAATTGTCTCCGATATAAGCTTCCACTGAACTTCCTGCATCCAGATGTACCCCCACTATCGTCACCTGACTGCCTCCAGACACAGGTCCCTGGGACGGAATCACCCTGTTAAATCTCGGAGTCTTGGGAGGGGAAGGAAAGGAAAACATTGATCTTAGTATCACAGTGGTGTGGTCTCTGGAGCGTGACAGACAACTAGAGAGAGTCAGAGACAAGGTGATCGAGATCATGCAGAATCTGAGACAGAGAGAGAGAGATGTGGCAGAGAGGACAGGCAGATGGAGCGAGAGTGAGAGAAGGGAGAAAGAGAGCATACGTGTGAGAGAGGGGAGAAAGAGTGTGCATATGAGAGAGAAAGAGGGAAGAGAGGGAAAGTGCGTTTGTGTTTGTATGTGTGTGTGTGTGTGCGTGTGTGAATGTGTGCGTGTGTGTGTGTGTGTATGTGTGCGTGTTTTTATGTGTGTGTGAATGTGAGCATGTGTGTGTGAGAGTGTGTGTGTGTGAGTGTTTGTGTGTGTGAATGTGTGTGTGGGAAAGAGTGTGTGCGTGAGTGTATGTGAGAGTGTGTATGTGTGTGTGAGTGAATGTGTGCGTGTGTGTGAATGTGAGCATGTGTGTGTGACAGTGTGTGTGTGTGTTTGTGTGCGTGTGCGTGTGCGTGTGTGTGTGTGTGTGTGTGTGTGTTTGTGTGCGTGTGTGTGTGTGTGTGTGTGTGAGAGAGATGGGAGAGAGAGAGAGAGGCAAGACAGAGAGATGGAGAGCTGCCTGCACCCAGGGCTGGAAGGATAAAGCAGGATCCGCTCATCCTTCAAACCAACGAGACCCTCATGTGGCCAATTATTGAGCTCATCCCATCAGCACCGATATTTTACCCACAGTGGGGGAAGGGTCATGCTACGCAGGATAGCTCAACATCTGTAAGTTGGGATGGGGGTCATGGGTAGAGTTGGTGGTGTCCTGTAAGGGGGGCTGGGGTTGAGTCTCCTTTGGGCTCCTCTTGGCCCATCAGAGGTCAGCGCCCTCTTGCACCAACACCCCCCCGAACACCCCAGAAGTTCATCGCTATTGAGCCCCAGCTCCGTTAACCTTTGTCCCAGACTCTTGAACCCAGTCCCTTTCCAACACCACTGACCTCCATCTTATCTGGTGTGGTGTGACGGCTTGCAGTCCCAGACATGGCCACCGTTGTCCACTGGCACTGCAGAGCTGTCGGTCATCCAATCACTTTGCAGCTCTCTAAGGCTGACCTTCCCAAACACCCAATGGCAGCAGAGAAATTCCACTCTAAGCCAATCAGCTCTGCTCCCTGTGCTACACTTCTAGAATCATGAGTGGACTGCCCATAAGAACATAAGATACAGGAGCAGAATTAGGCCATTCAGCCCATCGGGTCTGCTCTATCATTTGGTTATCGCTGGTATGTTTCTCAATCCTGCCTTCTCTCCATAACTCCTGATCCCCTTACCAATCAAGAATCTATCTATCTCTGCCTTAAATACACGCGATGACTTGGCCTCCACAGCCTTCTGTGGCAATGAGTTCCACAGATTCACCACCCTTTGGGTGAAGAAATTACCCCTCATCTCAGTTGTAAAGGGTCATCCCTTCATCCTGAGGCTGTGTCTTTGGGTCCTCATCTCTCCTACTAATGGAAACATCTTCTCCATGTCCACTCTATCCAGGCCTTTCAGCATTCTGTAAATTTCAATCTGATCCCCCCTCATCCTTCTGAAAGCCTTCAAATACAGACTCAGGGTCCACAACTATCCTATGACAAGCCTTGCATCCCCGGGATCATTCTTGTGAACCTCCTCTAGACCCTCTCCAAGGCCAGCACATCCTTCTTAGATACGGGGCCCAAAACTGCTCACAATATTCCAAATGAAGTCTGTCCAGAGCCTTTGTACAGCATCAGCAGCACATCCCAGCTCTTGTATTTCACTTCAGCCAACCTTTCAGCCATGAGAGACAGGGCACCACAGCACTCTGCACACTCCAATTCACATTGTCCCGTGACACAGACACCATGAATGGAGAGGAGAAGCAAAACAGAGCACACGCGTGCACACACACACAGACACACACGAGAGAGGCAGAGAGGGAGTGGGAGCAGGAATGAGAAGGGACAAACTTCAGTAACTTTGATACAAAGACTCAGTCCCGGTCCCACTCTGGGGGTTCTTACCACAAAAGTGAAAGGTTCCGATGAGATTGCTCGATACTCGTCATTACAGTCCACAACGCAAACTTCCACAAACCCTTTCTTCGCTGTCTGAGGCACAGCCGGCTCCATATCACACACAATCCTGCAGAGCACAATCAGTGAGCCTCTATTATTCACTTCCAGCACAGTGCCATGACCAAATCCTGCCCAAAACTGATCGCACCAGCAATCTGCACACCCTCTCCAACTCCTTCACTCTGTGGGAAGGTGATGGCGTTGTGGTACTGTCACTAGACTGTTAATCCAGAGACCCAGGTAATGTTCTGAGTTCGGGACAACAAGGTGCGGAGCTGGAAGAACACAGCAGGACAAACAGCATCATAGGAGCTGTGTTCATCCAGCTCTGCACCTTGTTGTCCCGGATTCTCCAGCATCTGCAGTTCCTACTATCTCTGATGTTCTGAGTTCATTGTTTTTTATTCATTCATGGGATGAGGGCATCGCTGGCTAGGCCAGCATTTATTTCCCCTCCCTAATTGCCCAGAGGGCAGTTAAGTGTCAACCACGTCGAACAATAGAACCCCTCCAGTGTGGAAGCAGGCCATTCGACCCATCAAGTCCACACCGCCTTCCAAAGAAGACCATCCCACCCAGACCCACCTCCCTGCTCTGTCCCAGTAACCCTGCATTTCCCACGGCTAACCCACATAGCCTGCACATCTGTGGACATTGAGGGAAATTTAGCATGGCCAATCCACATTTGCTGTGGGTCTGGAGTCACATGTAGGCCAGCCCCTTCCTTAAAGGACATTAGGGAACCTGATGGGATTTTCCCGACAATTGACAACGGTTTCATGGTCATCATTAGACTCTTCATTCCAGATATTTTATTGAATTCAAATTCCATCATCTGCCATGGCAGGGTTTGAACCCGGGTCCCCAGAACATTGCCTGGGTCTCTGGATTAATAGACTAGCAATAATACACTAGGCCATCGCAGCCCCTAAATTGCATTATGAGAGATGGTGGAATTTGAATTCAATAAAAATCTGATTGTTGGAAAAACCCATCTGGTTCACTAGTGTCCTTTAGGGAAGGAAACTGCCATCCTTACCTGGTCTGGCCTACATGTGACTCCAGACCCACAGCAATGTGGTTGACTCTTAACTGCCCTCTGGGCAATTAGGGATGGGCAATAAATGCTGCCTAGCCAGCGATGCCCACATGCCATAAATGATTATTTTTAAATGCCTGGTTTTAAATAGATTTCCGAATAACTGTTTCCAGCTCCCCAGTGTTCCACACATTTCCCATTTACCCCAGTTTCCCTTCTTTAAATATTGAGCTTGGGAATTATGAGCTCCACAAGGTGAGCGAATGTAGTGTTGTGAAAGCGAAACATTCCCATTTCAGCCACTCAGGTTCTGGCTTTGATACTTTCAACTCAGTTACACGGAGGGTTAGAGGGCTAATCAGATTGCCAAGAGCAGTCAGGGATGGGCAACAAATGAGGTCATTTGATACTTAGAAGTGGATAGGATTATTGACAAACAAGGAAGTCAAACGTTATTGGGGGTAGATGTGAATGTGGAGTTGAAGCCACAAACAGATCAGCCATGGTGTTATTGAATGGAGGGCTAGGTTGAAAGAGGGCCAAATGGCCAATTCCCGTCACGAACTCTTACGTTCTTACTGAGTTTACCGTAGCTTGGAGGGATCCGGAATACACACTTACTGCTCTGCGCTGATATACTCCTCGGGAATGGGAATACACCTCACACGTCCAACGTGTACCCCGTAACGGATTTCCGAAAACGTCAAGCCCAGATTCACTCCGGTAATTGTCAACCTGGTTCCTCCTTCCTTGGGCCCGGTCTCTGGTACTAGCTGGAACCAGAAAGAGACAGAGTTGAGGATCAAACTCGAGGCGTAGGTTGATGGCTCAGCTCAGTGCACCAACTCCTCAGAGTGTGCCCAATTCTCACTGTCCATGTAAAGTGACATTTCAAAGTTGTATCAAAAATGAACTCAGTCTTATATAATGGAACATGGAGGGGAACTGAGTGTAGCCACGTACCATTAGATATAGGGAGCAGAATGAAGCCATTTGGCCCATCAAGTCTGGTCCACCATTCGATCATGACTGGTATATTTCTCAACCTCATTCTCCTGTCTACTTCCTGTAACCCGTGATCCTCTTACCAATTAAGAACCTATCTATCTCTGTCTTAAAGACACTCAATGACTTGTTCTCCACAGCCCTCTGCAGCAACGAGTTCCACAGATTCACCACCCTCTAGCTGAAGAAATCCCTCCTCATCTCAGTTCTAAAGGGTCATCCCTTCACTCAGTCTGTGCCCTCGGGCTCTAGTCTCGCCTACCAGTGGAAACATCTTCTCCATGTCAGCTTTATCCAGGCCTCTCAGAATTCTGTCAGTTTCATTCAGATCCCCCCTAAAACTCTGACCTCCATCGAGTACCAACCCAGAGTCCTCAACCACTCCTCACATGACAAGACCTTCATCCCCGGGATCATTCTTGTAAATCTCCGGTGGATCCCCTCCAATGCCAGCACATCCTTCCTTAGATAAAGGGCCCAAAACTGCTCACAATATTCCAAATGCGGTCTGTCCAGAGCCTTATACAGGCAAAGTCGAGCTGGACACCTAACTCTCTTCGCATGCCCTATTGGTTTGAGTTTTGCATCTTTTAAAAAATGGCCTTGCTTCAGGGGCAGCATGGTGGCTCTGTGGTTAGCACTGCTGCCTCACAGTGCCAGGGACCTGGGTTTGATTCCACCCTCGGGTCACTGTCTGTGTGGAGTTTGCACATTCTCCCCGTTTCTGCGTGGGTTTCCTCCGGGTGCTCTGGTTTCCTCCCACTGGCCAAAGATGTGCAGGCTAGGGTGGATTGCCCATAGTTTCAGGGATGTGTGGGTTATAGGGGGATGGGTCTGGGTGGGACACTCTGAGGGTCAGTTGGGACAAAGGGCCTGTTTCCACACTGTAGGGGTTCATACTTTTTCAGCCCACATTGGAAGGCCTCACATTTGTGGACACTTTCGAAACCCTCTTGCCATAATGTTCTCCCAAGCACAATTAAAACCTGACACCTGTGCATTGCAAAGATGATAGATATTGCACAGTGCAAGGAGCATGTCAGGAGTCAGATGGTTGGCAGCCTGACGTAACGAAGAAGAAAATGCCGTTTCAAACACAGTGTCAAGCCAGCCTGACTGGAAAGTCTGCATTCCTAAAGAAGATTCAACCCTTCGTTCACTGTTAGCTCCTAGCTGCCATGCTGGCCTGGGACTAACTGCATTATCTTGCAAATGCTTTCCTTATTTTTCTTTAAACAGACAAAGCGCAGAGAGACTGACATCTCCCCAAAAGCTTTGGTAGAATCGAGGCACTGGAGGAGGATGTGGAGGGGAATGCAGGGTAAACACGAGGCAGGGAACTGGAGAGGTCTCTCATTTGGACACTGGGGTTCAAAGCCAGCCCAGGCGGTCAACATCAAAGCTTCTAACACACCCCCCCACCCCGAATTCGAACGTGGGAAGATAAATCCAGACAAGGAGAAGTCTCACGGTTTCCATTTCAGCTCATCCGTTCAGACTAAACGCCGCCAACTCTGTCCCCGACCCTCCACCCACCACATGGATTCCAAACTTTGATATTCAATTCTCCCTCGGATTAACAAAGGAGATTCCTTGTCAGGATAAATTATTCAGCTGCATTCGTATGTGAGCTTAAACATGTGACCTCATTCTGCCTTATGCAGTTTGAAAGGAGCTCAATAACGGGGCGCATGTTGGGCAGGAAGATGGCGATTTCAATCAGAAAGGTACCTCCAGAGGCATTGATCAAACCACACTCTCCACACAACAAGCTGAGCCTCCTGCCATTACTGAGTTGCCAGGCTTTGGATTTCCATGAGCTCATCATCAAATACATCTTGGAATTCGGGGCAGTGGGCAGAACACTAACCAATGACAGGCAGTAACTCAAGAAAGGGAGTGTATTCGAAATTGCATTGACTTGTTCGAAATCGTACAAAAAAAAACCTCATTAACTTCATTAAAAAGTCCCACTGCTGCATGACCAAGGACTCCAGTGTGACCTCTAATCAACTCAAGTCACACCTTTACTTAGTGCAATACATTTTGGGCAAGGCTTGACCACTCTGACATGCCCACCAATGCCAGCGTTACCATCCACCTTCTTGGGCTGCCTACATCTGCCCCAGAACAGGGCCAGTTCTCTAATCGCTCGCGTCAGTACAGCAGAGTGGGTTCAAACTGACTGCTCACTGTGCTGCTGAGGTCACCTTTCTGGACGAGGTGTAAAACAGAGGTGTTAAACACTGGGTATACTCAAGACACAGATTGCTATGTTTATAGACAATAAAGAAATTGAGGGACATGGGGATACTGTGGCCGGCGGGGGGGAGGGGGGTGAAGTGGCGTTGAGGCAGAAGATCAGCCATGATCAAGTTCAATGATGGAGCAGGAGAGAGGGGCTGAATGGCCTACTCCACTTCCTGTTCCTGTTCCTAATTGTGCAGTGCATTCAGATGCCTGGGCCTGAAACCCTAGCAGTGCCTCCCCACAATCCTCTCTCCTCCTTTCAGTCATCGCCCCTGTGCGTGCCTCTTTGATGAAGCTTGTACAATCACCTGCCCAAATTTATGCCCTGGGGTCGACTTTCCTTCTCCTTGTGTCCAAGCCAAAATACCCGCCCGTCTTCAACCATTCACCTCATTTGCAATTTGTGGGGTCTTGCTGTGTGGCCATCTAAACTGTTCAAGGTTTCCCCATACTGGAGGAGAAGGGTACAGAGGTTTTGTTTGTTGGCGGGGGGTTATTAGGGATAGTACACATTAGCCCCCTTCTCCCAAACCCCTGTCCTCTTCCATCTACAAGGACAAGGGTAGCAGATACATGGGAACACCATCCCTCTGCAAGTTCCCCTCCAAGCCACTCACCATCCTGACTTGGAAATATGTCGCTGTTCCTTCACTGTCACTGGGTCAAAATCCTGGAATTCCCTCCCTAACGGCATTGTGGGTCAACCCACAGCACATGGGCAGAGCACTTTGAGAAAGTAACTTTCTCTACAGCATTTAGGGATGGTCCATAAATCAGCACAGCCAGTGGGTCCTCATGCTCCATGAAAAGAACAAATTGTTTCTGATCCAAAAGAATTTTAAACATGCCTTTCCAAGAAGGAAAATGATAGGGTGAGAAACAAATTAAGCCTGAGGGAGGGAGTGAGAGAGAGAGAGAGAGAGAGGCAGACAGACAGACAGAGGGAAAGAGAGGAGATAGAGCAAGAGAGGGAGAGAGAGAGGGAGAAAAAAGCAGACAGGAGTATAGAAAGAAAGAAAGAGGGAGAGACAGAAAGAGAAAGACGGGCAGAAATGGAGAAAGAGAGAGAGAGAGACAAAAGCAGACAGAGGGATAGAGAGACAGGGTGCTACAGAGAGAAAGAGAGACAGGGGTAGAGAAAGAGATAGTGAGAAAAAGAGAGAGAGATAAAGAGAGAAAGAAACAGAAATAGAGAGAGATAGACAGACAGGGAGAGAGAGAGAGGGAGATAGAGAAAGACAGATATAGAGAGAAAGAGAGAGGAGTAGAGAGAGGGAGGGAGAAACAGACAGAGATAGAGAAAGAATGAGAGAAGGGTAGTGAGAGAAAGATATCAAGTGGTTAAAAAAAAGAGATAAGATGGAAAATGGAGAGTTTGAACTTGAGAGATGGCAGGAATCAGAGATCAGGGAGAGAGTTGTTAATCAGATGACAAGCTTCATTCCGTAACTAGTCTGGGATTCAGACCGAGGTACGCAATGAAGCCTCTCCAATCTAGAAGCAGTGATCCAATTTGCAGACATCTGCTAGATCTGGCAGGGATCTCCAATCAGCTTGGACATGGTGAAGTCCAAAGCCAGGCCTGGATTCCCGGGGTAGATTTGTCTCCCCTCCTGTAACCAATCTCGCCTTGTTCTTCCTGTCAGACAAGATGGCTTTGGTTTATTTGAAGTGTCATGGTTAGGGAGATGCATGGTAACGTGATTCATTAAACAGAATTATTCATAATGGAAAGACAGGTGTAGCTTGACAAAACAAATATTATGACTGATGAGCGTAGCTGTAACGGCCTCGTAATAACAATAATAGTATAATTATAGGTAATTTTACATTGCTTTTAACGCCACGTATTCATGTGACATACAGCTGTATCCTGCAAATCAGGCACTCTGCTGGCTCGAGGAACTAACTACGAGGAGACTGAAGCCAATAAACTCAAACACTAATTCGACAAGCCAAGGTCCATTTGCGTAAGAATTGGGATATATAGAATGCACTTAAGTCTCACTTAACTGTACCTCTGTTGAAGAACAAATTGGTAATGCCAAGCGTCAAGTGTAGAAATTCTTTACAATGTAATGAAGAGGTGACTTTGACAGTGATATAGCAGGAAGCAGAACTCCCCATCACAGAAGGGAGAGAGATAGTAGGAACGGCTGATGCTGGAGTTAGAGATAACACAGCGTGGAGCTGGAGGAACGCAGCAGGCCAGGCGGTATCAGAGGAGCGGGAAAGCTGACGTTTCAGATCGGGACCCTTCTTCAGAAATGGGGACCCATTTCTGAAGAAGGGTCCCGACCAGAAACGTCACTTTTCCTGTTCCTCAGATGCTGCCTGGCCTACTGTGTTCCTCCAGCTCCACACTGTGTTATCACAGAAGGGAGAGAGTTGTGTACTGGTCATGTCACTGGCCTAGGAATCTAGAAACCCAGGTTAACTTTCCTGCCCTTTCCCCCTACCCTCGATTCCCTAATTGATGAGTCTATCTGAGCCTTGAATACACTTATCAACCCAAACT